ATATATTTTTTGATTTTTTACTAAAATATGTACAAAAAAGTAGAGAGATAATGTGACTCAAATAAATATATTTAGTTTATGTCAAATAGTGCCTTGTCGCCAAAGCAACAATAACTATTAGCAAAGTATATTATTGCTATCTTTTAGTCTCTATTTGGGAAGATGGATTAGGTTAGGTTTAGGGTTATTTTAGTTAAAAAAAAAAAAGGACTTTTTAATCTAATAAAATAAAATATCACATCTAATATATAATCATTACATTTTTTTTTTACAAAAAAATTTAAAAAACCTTTCTCAAATAAATTTTTTTAATACCGAATAATAATTAAAAAACTAAAAAGTACCAAACAAAAGAAATATGTCAATTAATTGAAACACTTTTCAGACATTTACAAAAGGAATAATGCTTGGGACCCCCTTTTGGGGAGTCACCCCCTCACTCCTTTTGTCACGTGGCGGGTGGTGATTGAAGGAGCAGGAAAAAAAAGAAAAAGAAAAAGAAAATGTAACCAATGAGAGAGAGAAGGGGTCAAAGGAGGCGGGAGGAAAAGGGGATGAATCATTGTTGTTACAAAAGCCAACTCACCTAGCCTATAGGTTTTAGCCCATCAATCATCTTTAAGAATAAATAAAATTTAATCTAAAAAAAAGTTAAAGAGAAAGAAATAACAGATATGAAAATCAACATTTGTCATCAGTTCTACCAACCATATCTAATAAGGTAATGAATTTCACGTGTCATGCTCACTAGAATATTCTCTTAATAATTGCAAAAACGAATATTCTCTTTTTAAAATGACAAAAATAAGATTATGAGATGGGTACGATTCCTCATCTGTGAAAAAAAATAAAAAATAGAGATACTAGAAACGAGTCGGCGTTAAAAATTAAAAAAATCAAAAGCAATGGATGTGAAGTTGTTTTCTTATTTAACTCGGGATTAACTTTTAAGTGAAATTATTTGTTCATAATTGCAGCACATGTCAAGCTGAGTAGTAAATTATTTAAATTTAATTTAAAATTTTAATAAATTTTAAAATATGTTTGAATTTAACTTATTTATATAATAAGTAAAGAGAGTAGTTTGCTTTCAGTCTTTAATTGGATTGGACAGTACTGTTCGACCTGTGAGGGCTCATCACAGGTTTCGTTTTGATAATCCGAACCGTTCAATGTGTAAAACTTGTCGAATACTATATGTATGTAAAAAATCACATTGATTGGATATCGATAGCTCTCTCATCTTATCAGTTTTTTGTCAACCGTTAATTTGTTCACCGTTTATTTTTTATACAAAGCTGATTTGATCACATAGCTATCGATATCCAATCAACGTGATTTTTTACACATTAATAATTCAAATTATCAAAATGGGACCCGTGGTGGGCCCCCACGGGCCAAATAGCACTGTCCAATCCGATTAAGGACCGGAGACAAGCTGCTCCCTAAGTGAATCTCGAATTAGTTTTTAACAAGTTAAACACGAGTTAAACTTGAATAACTTGATTTTTTTGCAGTAAATATAAATTTATCGACTCGAATAGTAAATTGTTCAAATTTAACTTGAAAACTTCAAAAGTTTTAAGAACTTATTGGTTCAAAAGGTATGCATATGAGATTTACTGGTAATTGCCTCCTTATAAGAAACGTTCTGAATTAAAATAAATAAATAAATTACAATAATTTTTTTAAAATTATGATTTATTTGTATTTTGTTTCTCTAAACTACAAAACTCAATAATTAACTATCTCAAGGTATTATTTTGTTACAGTTTATCCCTTCTATTAGGATTCCCTAATAATACCAATTATTGATTTTTTTTTGAAAAGAAAATGATACTCTTATCTAGTTATTCCATTTACACTTTGTCTCCATTATTTTAGTGATAAAGTGCAAAGGAAATCACTGGATAAGGGCATTAGTGTCCAAAAAAATTAATAAATATATCATATGATTTACATATGATGTGATTTTGTGTAAATCTTTAACTGAATTCTAACATAATGGGTTAATTATAACATAATAATATTTTGAAGTGGTTAACTGTTGAGTTTTAAAATTTATGAGAAAAAATACAAATGAATCATAATTTAAGAAGATTTACTGTAATTTATCACCAAAAATATAGTCTGTTATGAAATTTTTGATTATGTTATAAATATTAAAATGTTATAATTTCGTGTAAAGTTGCCTTTAATACATATCTCTTTGTTTGAAGCAATTTCACTTATTGTAAAGACAATGGTAAAAAATCACCACTGACCACCATCTGCTACCACTGGCAAGTAAACATGTATGTATCAATATTTTTTTATATAAAAAAATAAAAACAAAAATAATTAATGCTTTTTATAAAAAAATCAATAATAAATTATAAACACTATGAAATGACACCTTATTAATTTATTTATTGGGTGGAGCTGCAACAAATCCACCAATTACCATTTCCCATTGTAAAATTAAACATGGACATTTGCATTAACCAAAAATAAATAAATAAATCCCATGCCCCTATTCTCATTTTTTTTTTTTTCTTTTCCTTTTGGATAAGTAAGACATATTATAACTAAAAAAGAAAGATATACAATGAAATTCAATACACATCTTTTGAGGGGAGAACAAAATAAACAAAATAAACTACTCCATCAAAAGAAACAAAAACATAACATTCATAACAAAAAGGATTCAAAATTTCCCTCTAACACTCTTTAAGTTATGAAGTTTCGTTTTGAGTTTTCTTCTGTTATTCTCCTTTGTAGTCTCTACATTAGTGGGATCACTTGGAGATGAACTCTCTCTATTTTTTAGACTCTTCATTTGGCACAACAATTCTTAACTTAATTCTCCATTCTCGACTTAATTCTCCATTCTTTAATTCTCCCGTATCACACGATTCCAAAACATCAAAAACATTAAATGTTGAGAGGACAAAAGACTGCATCTCTCTCTCTCTCTATCAACTTACCTCACCATCTCTCCTCTTTTTCTTCAGCACTTCCTTTTTAGTCGGATGTCCCTATTTTCACGTCTCTCTATCTTCCTCTCTCTCTACCACCACAGCGTTAAAAGATTTGATTTTCAAATTGGTTTTGACATGCAGTAGAGATTGGGTTTAATAGTAGAAAATGGAATGTATGTTCTCAAATCTCTATAGTATCAAACGTTTAAATATGTAAAGATATTTTTTATCGAAGCAATTGGAATGAATGTTTGTAACAATTAAGGCCTTGTTTGGCATATATTAAAAAATTTAAAAAGTCAAAAAGTTACTATCTTATTTAAGTCACATCATCGTATTTAAATCACATCACATCTTTATCACATCACTTCAAATCTAACCCATACCCAACCTATATTTCATAAAAAGTTAAAAAGTACACTTGTTTAGAACATTTCAAACCACCCTTTAGAGTTTTAAATATATATATATATATATAAACTAGTGTTGGGTTTAGTTTCGGTTTTCACTATTTCAAGATTGAATAATTTTAAAGATCTAAGACTAAAATTTAAAGATGTCAGTTGTTAAGTTCAATCCTAAGGATTAGTTCTTAGTATTTCGAGTCTTGAATTGGGCTGAATGGGATATTTGAAGACCAAATAGAGTGAAGTTGTTGAAGTTTTTGTTGGCTTGTATTATGTTAAAAGACTTTGGGATTATCTTAAAAATGAGAAGTACAATAAATAATTACAAATCATAAAAATATAACAGTTATTTGCAAAAATTTATTAGTGTATAAATCACTTGTAATTTCATAAGTTAAAATTGTTTTTTACATTCCTTATTTTTTTATATTCCCCCTTTCCTATATGTTTTCGAAAGACTTTCTTTGTTTTTTGTTTTTTTTTTTTTAATTTTAATTACAGGAAATATACGTGACTTTTGGGCTTTTAATTTGAACTGTGTTAAGCAAATAGCGATTTAGTGGGTTATATTTTGTTAAAAGACTTGTGGGTTTAGTTTTGTTAAAGCTTTGTGAAAAAAGGCCCAAACCGATATACCAGACCAAATCGAATTTCTAGTTCATTTCTTCTCAATCTTACTATCACCAGCTTGAAGAATTCTAGACCATCATCATTCAAATGAACCACTTTTATTTATAAGGGACAACACAACACGAAACTGTAGTTACTCAAGTATTTGAAAAATGCAAGAGCACAGCACTCGGGAAGCATGCGCAAAATATATAATTTTATATAGTTATTATATATCATATATTTAAATATTATAAAAAAAATTATGTCAAATATTAATTTTTATAAAATTTGTAAATTTTGGATTTGTTTCTCCAAAGAAAAATAAATAAATAAATAACTTTAAAAAAAGGTCATTGTGTGTTCAAAACGTGTTCCCAACGTATCTATTGTGTGTCCTCATTGTGTCACTTCCTCCCATGTGTCCGGAGCATGTCTAACACGTGTTTACAGTATATTCAATATGTGTCCGTGTCCGACACGTGTTAAACAACACCCATACGTGACCTCTAGAAAGGCTTCCTTGCTTCATAGGTTCGAGGCAATAATGCATCAAAATCCTATTCCCATGCAAGAGAAGAAAATTTCAGTTTATTCATTCCATCCTAGCTGGGCTTATCATTCAAGTCCTACAACCAAGTTTTTTTTTTTTAACAAACTGCAACCAAGTTCAATACAATTAAAATTGATAACAGACCTTTTCGGATGATAAAGCACAACGACCTCGCAAAGAACTTCACTTTCCTCAAAATAAACATGATATCACAACAAAGCACGATGAACTTAGGCCTTATTTGAGAACATGCTAATTTAGTAACTTTTTGACTACTTGACTAAAATATAAGCTACAAAAAACTAATATGTTTGAGATGACTTTTTGACTTTTTACGAAAAGATATGCAAAAAGTAGAAAGAAAAGAAAATCTTTGATTTTTTGGTATGAGTTGTTAACTTTTTGAATTTTTTAATGACTTTTTGACTTTTTGGCTAAAAAACCCACTTGCTAAACGAGGCCTTAGAAACTTCTTTACTCAGTTATATTATATAAACAAAAACATGTATATTGTACGGCACTGTTAAGTCTTTTTAGCTAAATAAAACCTCCAAGTCATAATAAAACTCCAACTATTTCATAGACACCTTATAGCCACATAGATTTATTGTATACCGTTCTTTATTTATATGACTATGTATTTAGACCACCTCTGCGACACTTTTCACTCTGCAGACGATGAGAGTAACCTTGACAAGTAGAATTTATGATGATGGTGCATTTGGTGAGCTCCGATCCAATTCTTCAACAGATTCCTTTGGACAGATCAACATCTTGCGCACCACAGCCCGAAATTCTCTGCATTAAAGACGACACAAAGACTTAGTACATTACAATATTAGCAGCTCTAACACCAAGTAATTTTAAAAATTAGTTTTAAAAAGCTATGTGGGATTTTGGTACTTAACATCCACGGGCAATCTCTAACCAGCATCATGTCCCCTTCACCGTCTATATAGGTTACATGCCAGCCACTACTCATGTCGATCAATGTCCCATTGAAATCAAACATTTGGTCAAGCTCACGAATGAGTTCATTGTACCCATCATAACGTGTGAGGTCCACTGATCTTCCAAGAGCAGTTCCATGCTTCAGTACCTGGAAAGGAAAATGCCTTACAATATCTCAAAATCAAAATCATTTTTGCATTAGTCAATCCAATCTAACTGCATTATGTGAAAGTAAGAAACTTTGAGAAAATAGCATTTAAGGTTGATTCTTAAGGACACGGCATTGAACCTGATCACAGAACTTTACCAACAACATTAATGAAAAATCATCAGAGAATGGTTCTTTATCAGAATGGAGTTTTTCAAACACTTGGCTGTATTTGGATCATAGATTTGGATAAGAATTTGGAAAGGAAAAGGAAAAGGAATTCGCCTTTTCTCTTCCCTTTCCAAATCTATAATCCAAACACAGCTTTAGCTGAATAGATTAAAGAGAAACTACCTTTGTGCAACTCCGGTTAGCAATGGGACAACAGTTCTCGCATTGTTTCTCTGGAAGGCAGCCTGAAACACTCTTAGATGGCTCGGAGACTTGAATAGTTTCAGAAATGCCAGACTGGGAGACCACTGAAGAGACAACTTGCTGTGAATGGAGCTCCAGAGGACGACTAAATATATTAACTCCAAAAAGCATGTATTTGTCACTGCCGTTTGGTTTGCCCATTGGAGCTTTAATCTCATCCTTCTTCTCTTCATTCCAGTCTTGATGCGCAGAACTAGTAGACTTGACTTTTGGGATAGAGAAGCTTGTACTCACCTCAGTGGTCTTGGTTTGTGGGAAAGTAAATGTTGGAGGCCGGTAAGCAAGCGTCGGACTAGGAGGATTTCCACTAGGAATTGAAATTGTGTTGGCATGAGAGTGACAAAACGGTTCATATCCAACTTGCCGGTGGTGCCAAATAGGATTTGGTTGGGGAAATAAAGGGGATAAAATGGGCTTCCCTAATGAGCCCTGTTCACGAGCACCTATGGCTCTGATTTCTTGACCTTGCAAGACCCCTGAATGTCTTTTCAATTTATGCTCAACTGAACCCTGCAATGAGCCTTGGGATTTGGGGAAAAAGAATTTGATCATTTGTATAGCAGAGGATGATATAAACAATAAAGCTCGAGTTATCATTAACTGCTTACCAACAGGAAACTGAAGAGTTGATGGGTCCAAAGGGCATGCCCTCTTTTGATGTGGAAGAAGGGAAGTGTACTTCTCCACCATGGGTTCGATGCTCCAAGGAGAAATCCTTTGAGGGCAAAAAGGGTCATGAGACGGGGAATCCCATTGCACCTAAAAAGGAAGAATATGTAAACGACTGCATACTCGTGTGTATACATAGCAATATGTTGCTAGGACATTTATAAACACCATGAATGCATTTACCTGGAGACATCTCCACTCTGAACCAGGCCACCTAAGGCGGTCAATATTATCAATGCCAACTATAGTCCCTGAAAATCTGGTTAATAAACTTATATTCAGCTAATAGAAGAAGAAACAAGAAATGTAAAAATCTATTGCCATTGTAGCACTAACTTATCAAAGCATGCTAACGTTGTCCCTGACTATTGCTGCTCATTGTTCTAAAATGTTTTAATGACATTAACATCAATATCCTATTCCATGACTCGGATAAGCAAGAATGGGAGGCAAAATCTATTATTGTGAAAGACAAATACCCCACAAATACTTACCTGGAGCACTTTTGTTCGGCACAATCTTCGCCTTCAAACAGCATTCTGAATCTTGTTCCTACTGAACACTGATATTCAGTGGTGGATTTGATGTATCGATCATGAGGGATTATAAATTCAACAGGACTTGTCCTGCAGACAATGTGTAGGTCAGCTTTTGGTTCGAGATTGATATCACTTATATGCCCATAATTGAGTATCAGCTTACCATGGACGGTAATACACAGTAAACATTGTTCCGGTGGAAATGGCATGGAAGGCACTGGCAAGTATGCCATGTTGCATGCTGTGACCGGATAGGACAGATGCTGATATATTGGTTTGTCGTGTTGTTGCACGACGGAACCCGACATAAAGTTCTCCATTTTCTCCTCTATGAAAAAAGAAATGTATCATAGCAACTATAACTAAAAGATCAACTGCCTGTGAAACCCTTTTAAGAATTAAAAATATATATATATATATATATATATGAGAGAAAGAGAGAGAGAGAGAACCTCAGGAATATACAAGCATCCCCGGCAACAAGCTTCTTTGCACTCACAAATGCACTCCAACCACTAGTAATCAAGTGTCGCTTCGGCTGCCCTACATTTATACATAAAAATAAAAATAAATAAATAAATAAAAACAAGTTCAAAATGAATGTGATTTAATATAATTATGAGATAAAACCCCCAAAAAAAAAATGCCTAAAAACTATAAAAGATGAGAAGTGTACAGGAAACGACAGGAAAGGGGAAAAAAATCATGGGTCACTGTCATGTCAAACTACAACCTTTTTGATTTATTTGGACGCCTAAACACCCACTCTGCTTGTCCCATGAAATCAAAATTAACTTGACATTACATTCACTACAATGATCTATTGATAGCAGTAAGTCCAATACTCTTTGGTGCTTAAGCTCCAAGACAAAAATATCAACAAAAAAATTTAAAATTAAAAAATAAAATATAAAAACTTTCAGAGATAAACTTAATACCACGATATATATGGCGGAATCTCCATTCAGACCCATGCAAGTCCTTTGCCACCAGTTCCTGTGCAGGTGGTTCCTGAGACGAGTCCTGCAGCAACAAGTGAAGTTGAAAATTAGAAGAATCAAGTGTCATCTGCACAAAATGCTGATAGGATTGACATGAAATCTTTTTCTTCTTTTAGGTGTTCGTTGTTGCGTAAGAACAATTAATTATGAAACTGAACACATTCAATAAGGTAATTTATCAAAGCAACAAGATCGGACTAGATGAACTTAATACAAAGATTTTTAGATGGGTGAATGAAATTATAAGAAAGATACCAACCAAAGGAGGAAAGCATTGATCAGCATATCGCTTAGGAATTGAGAGTCCACCATGTTTGCTCGTATCAGATGGAGTGAGACTCTTTTTGAAAGAGTATGCCCTAACTTTCTGAGGCACAGATTCAGCTATTCCATTCTCTGGACTAGTCCCCTCTTGCTGCAAAGATTCAAAGCTCCAACCATATTCAACAAGAAATTTTTTTGTATAACCATTTAGAAAAGAAAAAAATTAAAAAATTCAAGCAATTTATTTGGTTCCTCAAACATTACAATGCCCAATTTGCAATCATCACAATAATGTCAGAATTGATAATGTATCTTAGAAGCTCGTTTACAAATACCAAAATCGGAAATGTATTCAACATTGAAAATGTTTTGTATAACCATTTAGAAATCACACACACACACACACACACAAAGCAATCCATTTGGTTCCTGAAACATTTCAATGCCCAAGTTGCTATATGGGTTGCAATAATCACAATAATCTCAAAATTGATAACGTATCTTAGAATTTTCAAATGATCTCATTAACAAATACCAAACTCTTTAGAAAGCAATTAAACTTTATAGTTACATGTCATTCTAAAGATTCAATGAACAAAGTGATTTAGAAAACAAAGTATGTGCAATAAGTTGAATCCAATTTAAATCTCATTGGCCATCTCTACCTCTGGAAGCAAAGTGATCTGCGCAAACACCTCATCTGTGTAAGGTTCCGCCTGCAAAACCACAATTAATAAGCACGAGTACCATCCAAAAAAAATCTTATATACAAATATACTGGAAAAGCCTAAATAACATACTATCTGCATTAACTTGAAGATTAGAAAAAGAAAGCAAAATGGTAAAAATGATACTTAGGCCTAACGAAGCAACATACCTTTAACTGAGCATAGACAACCTTGCAGAGAATCTTAGAAGGTAAATTGTAGATTGGCATCTCCACATTGCCATCTTGGTTTGTGTATACCTCAACCTATACCAAAATTCAAATTATAACACGTAATTCATATCACCAAACAACCAAATGATTTTTCTAATTAAATTTAAAACCAAATAAGGCACAGTTCTATCATAGTAAATTCAGCCAATATTTATTTGCATGACATTTTACACGGATGCATCATGAGATAATTCCACATTAACCACAAAGGGCATAGTCCAAATTATCTTTAAGATCATTATTTCAAATTTGAAATGACTTCAACCAACTGCAATCAATTGAAGAATCTGTTTTTATTACACTCTTGTCGCGATATGTAACGACAAAAATTTAGTAACTACATTTCCACGGTACATTTAAAGCACGGGATAAGATTTTGTGTCGATTTCTGCTAAGAACGGTGCATTTAAAGCATGGGATAAGATTTTGTGTCGATTTCTGCTAAAAATGTTTATTGCGACAAAATTCAGTAACTACATTTCCGCGGTACATTTAAGGCACGAGATAAGATTTTGTGTTGACTTTTGCTAAATGAGCTGAAATTACATTAATGCGAAAGTGAAATTAGGTAGAGAGGAGAAGAGAACCTGCTCTATGTGACCTTGAGGGAAGTAGAACACCTTATCACCGGCGCTTGGGACATTCACCAGAGGCCCGGCGCAGGCGTGCCATAGTTGAATAGACAAATCATCTTTTTCACCTAAAATTGGGAACCCATTTCAGGATTGAGTGAGAATGATTAAAATTGATTCAATGTTGGGATGAATTTTACATTCATTGACATGAGGATTGACTGGAAACAGAAAAATAACACAAGCAAACAAACAATACAAAAAATTAAAAAGGCTTTTAGTTTTTCCAATACAACAGATCAGAAACATTACAGTGAATTGAAATCTGAGCTTGAAGATTTCCTCATGAAAAATTCAACTGATAAAAACTGAATCCAAGAATATCAAAGATCAAAAACTATTAATGATTCAACTAGACCAAAACAACCCACAATTTCCATTGAAATTTCAAAAACCGAACATCAATTATTATTTTTTTAAATAACTGACAAAATAAAAAAACTAAAACGTCCCATCATTGAAATTCGAAATTACTATTAATAATTGGCCTATGAACTCTCTATCATTGAAGGCACTTATAAATTATAACCATTATAACAATAACTACAAGCCTTTACACAAGAGAAGACTCATGAAAAATTCAACTGATAAAAACTGAATCCAAGAATATCAAAGATCAAAAACTATTAATGATTCAACTAGACCAAAACAACCCACAATTTTCATTGAAATTTCAAAAACCGAACATCAATTATTATTTTTTAAATATCTGAAAAAATAAAAATAAAAAAACTAAAACGTCCCATCATTGAAATTCGAAATTACGATTAATAATTGGCCTATGAACTCTCTATTCTGTCCCTACCTCATGCATACTATAGAACAGAAAACCATATTGAAAAATGAATGAAATGAAATGAAATAAAATAAAATAAACCCAATGAGAATGAGTGAATGAAGAAGAGACCCAAGTCGTCACCTTGCTGGTTATTGTTGTTGTTGTTGAGAGTGAGAGAGCCGTCGTTCTGGCAAATCGTTTTCTGGGTTTCGAATTCCACCTTGTGGCTCGACAACGAACCACGATCATTTCCAGAAGAAGCCATCCCTTTTTTCTTTTCTTTTTTCTCTTTCTGAAAATGAGAATAGAGAGAGGTAAGAAAACGAGCGAGGAGAGAAAAGATAAAAGAAAGAACCCTTCAGGTGTGTGTGTGTGACACCAGAGAGGTGCTCTGTGGGACTTTGCAGAGCTTACCTTCCTTCACCACCTTTGTCTCCCACTACTACCCCTCCTCTTACTACACTCTTTTTCTCTCTCCAAAACCGCCTCTCCTCTCTCTCTCTCTGTCTGATGAGTACTAGCTTTAACGCTTGTAATCATCACATATATCACATATATATATACTCTACTCCCTCACTTCCTCCCATTGGGAATTTAACCTTTTTTTTTTTTTTTCAATTATTACATTTTAAAAAAATTAATTTTTTAAAATTACCTTTTTATAATATATATTTTTTTAAAATAGTAGTATTATATACATCAATTGATATATTAAGGCCTAGTTTGGGAAGACTAAATAAGTGCACTTTTTGACTTTTTTTTTGTATTATGTGTAGAAAAAATAGAGAGGAGATGTTGATTGATGTGACCCAAAAAAGATAAAAAGATGAAATAAGTGCACTTTTTTCTTTGTAGCCAAACTTGGCCTAATTAATATGCCTACACTCTTTATATCATTATTATTGATCCTACCCATTATACAAATTATAAATATTCAAAATTTCTAAAATTATGTCACATTATCTGTTAGTACACTAATTAATATATCAATTCATGCATATAGCATTATTCTCCAACTGTCATAATTATACTTTTTGTATTAATGAATTTAAAAAAATGACAAAATAAGAAATTTATATTATTTTAGTTCTTGATCTTTTAAAATTAACTAATATTTTGGAATAATAAAAAATGAAATAAGAAACTAATATTTTAGAATGAAGAGAGTAATTGGAATGTGTAGGATTTTACTATATATACACCTTTAATTATGTCATTTTTTTTTTGGTTAGATATGATTAATTATTTTTAGTTATAATATTATTTTAATTGTAACTTATGAGATCTTTAATCATATATATATATTATGTAGTGTTTGATTATGATTTTTTTTTTAATCAGGACTCAAAAGTATGAAATTGTATCTTTATTTTTCTTTAATTATAAAATATAGGGAGAACAATTTGCAAATGGAAGTTAGGAAAAAAATTATTAACAGATAGAGGGGTGCAAGTAACAGATAAGGGGTCACTGCTGTGCTCAAAGCACAACAGTGACTGTGGTGCCTCCGTTTGAAGTGTATTATGACCTTATTTTTATGATCCAAACCGTTATTTTGTAGGATTTGTTAAGTACTTCATGCCTATCAAAAATCATATTAATCGGATATCAACAACTATATGATCGATAACCAAAAAAATAAATAATAAGTTTTTCTTTTGAGAAATAACATAAATAATATGTAATTCGATCATATAGTTATTGATATCTGATTAATATGATTTTTGGTAGGCATAAAGTACTCAACAAACCCTACAAAATGAACGGTTTAAATTATAAAAATAATGCCATAACACACTTCAAATGAAGGCACCACAGTCACTGTTGCGCTTTGAGCACAGCAGAGACTCCTGTTCTGCAAGTAACACTTGTATTCCCAAAGTTTTTCATTTGCATCCGTATGTGTTTGTAATTTTTTTTTCAACTCCGATGTACATATAGTTTCCCTAAAGTATATATGATATACACTTTTTAAAGGGTATGTAATATAGTCGTTCTCAATGTGATATATGTTTTGATACTATTATTTATAAATACAACCCTTGAGATTTGTTTAAAATATAAGTTATCTTAAAATTATAAATATCATCTTATTAAAAAAATTAATTTAATAGAATTAACTAAGAAAATAAAATTCTTAACTACTTACTTGAATTATTAATTGAAATAGATTTATAACATAATGAAAAATAAGTAATTAATTTATTAATTTATTAATAAAATTAACAATTTATTGTGAAATTCGAAATTCAAGGAACTTGATATAATTTTTAAAACTATAAAAAGACAAATCAGTGTGTTTGGTTTTAATTTTTTTAAAAATTAAATTTTTTGTTTTTCATATTCTTTTGTTTTTAGTGAATATTTTTAAAATTTTAAGTAATTTTTTTACTTTTTTAGATACACTTTATTTAGATGTATCTAAATAGTAAAATTTTTGTAATTTTTTTTTAAAAAAAATCAATAAATATAGAAGAATATGATAAATGTGTTGAATTCTTATTTTTTTTTATATATTTTTGGTATTTAATAAATTTTCTAAAGAGATTTTTCACAAATATTATATTTTTTAAGTATATATTCATGTTAAGTGTATTTAAAAAATTTTAAAAAATATTTTAAAAAATTAATAAAAATAAAAAATAGAAAAAGTAAAAAAAATTAATTTTTTAAAAAATAAATCCTAAAAATGGGAACCAAGTTCAACAGCATTTCATTTTCATGGTTAATTTACCCTATTTAAAACTACAGGTGCCAGGGGTAGGTCCTGCACGATGAGTCGCTGCTGTGCTGGGGTGTGGTGTGATGGTTGTTTGGTCACCGTACACTCGGGGTTTTACAGGCACGTGACGACATTGTATTGCTTAAAATTTTTAATTTATTTTAAATCATATCAGTGTGTTTAGTTTGAATTTTTTGAATTAAATTTTTGAAAAATTGACTTTTTTAATTTTCGTATTTTTTTTGTTTTTGGTGAATATTTTTTAAACTTTAAACTTTTTTTTTTATTTTTTTAGATGTACCTTACTTAAAGGAAAATGTATCTAAAAAATAAAAAAATTGTGAAAAAATATTTTAACAGATTAATAAATACATAAAAATGTAAAAAATGTACTGAATTCTTGTATTTTTTTATATTTTTGGCATTTAGTGAATTTTTAAAAGATTTTTTTTACAATTTTTTTACTTTTTAGGTATTTATGTTAAGCGTGTCTAAAAAGTAAAAAAATTGCTTAAAATATTAAAAAATTCAGTAAAAACAAAAAAAAAAACACGGAAAATAATAAAGTAGAAATTTCTGAAAAGTGTTTTTTGAAAAGTGGAAATAAGCAATCTCTCACATTTTTTTTAAAAAATTAAAAAAAAAAATTAGTGAAATATCCCTCTTTGACTTTGTAGAGTAGGATAAGTCTAAGAATTTTTTTTTTTTTTTTTATAACTAAGATCCCTCAATGAAATTTCTCTGTGACCATACCATAGAAATATCATATTAGAGAAATTTCTCTGTGTCGAGATCAAAATTTCTCTGTGAAAATGTTGAGAGCCTTAACCACTATAGAAATATTATATATCATTTATCTTATAAAATCCTAATATCAAATACTTTAAAAAAATTATCCTATATAAATCCACTTTTTATATTTATTTTTTAGATTTAATAATGTGTAATAAGATAATTAGTTAATAATTAAAAAAATATATGAAAGAGATAAATAACACATGAAATTGATTGATTTTAATAATATCACTCATAAAAAATAAAAAAAAGGGTATAATAACTTATAATTGACTACGAGGCCTTAGTTGTTCCAAGTCTCCTTTCTTTTTCACACGATCCAGCTTCTGGTTATTACTAGACAACCCGATGGAAGATCCGATGATTTTTTTTATTTTTTATAAAGTATGTTCAAAAAATAATATATTTTTTGACTTTAAAAAGTGCTAAATAAGTCACATTTTTTGGATTTTTTTGTTTTTGTTATCTTTTTTAAAAATTACATCAATTTTTTTACTTTTTTGATCTGTCTTGTATAAAAAAATTTACAAATTATATTTTTTAAATTTTTTTAAAAAAAATTAAAAATCAAAACAAGTCGAAAAAATCACTATTTTTGTTTGTTTTCATTTTAAGGAAAATTTAAAATAAAATACTAATATTTATAGGGAAAATCGGTCTAAGGTCCCTATCCACCTTTTAGTAATGGATTAGGTCCACAATATATTCTTTTGTAGTCTAAGGTCCCTCACCCCCCATACCCAACAAATTAGACACATGTGATAGAATTAAGCTTCCGGATAACAAGGTTTTGCAAAAATTATTGTTTGCTATCATCAAATCCAATAGATCAGCCGCATCATAAGCTGCTTCCTCAACTTCCTCCAGCCATTCACTGTTGGCTATTTCCTTGAAGAAAAGTTTATGTTCTGCAACAACCACTACCTCGACAATTTGATTGATAGTGAACCGGAGTTTTGTGAGGTCGCACTGCATCGGGACCAGATCGTTGCGATAGATACCGTGGAGGAGAAACGTGTAGAGAGTGAGCAGGGTGGTGGTGGTGGTGGAAGGGGAGGAGAAGAGGCGGAGAAGGTGGTGATGGTGGATATGAAAGAGACTCTAGCTGGAGAAGCAGCATCAAAACTCAAAGCCACTGATCAGACGAGCGGTCAGACTCTCGACGACAAGGAGGGCAAGGGCATTGCTGTCGTGCGTCTGGAACGCAAGAAGTGATCTCTTGCAACAACCTTGTGCAATTCAATGCAATGCTCTTATGTTTCTCTTGGTTTTTGGCAGTTAAAAGCTAGCTAGCTTGCTTTTTGTTTATGCATATGACTTGGACTTCTGTATGTTTTGTGTTTTTTGGGGGTTAAGGCTTGAGCGTTATATATATATAAAAGATTGTGTATGTTTTGTTTGAACACAAGAAGCATCCTCAATGGACCCCTTTGTGGAGCTTGTCTTCAAAAGTTGCCCAAAAAAATAAAAGCTGTGTCTAGGAATGCAGTGAAAACCAAACCAACTTTATTAATTAGGATGTATATACAAAATGGATTGGTACTACTGGGCATAATCTGTATTATTGTGTTTTGGTAGTATCTAGATCAGATCACATTCTACAGCAAACAGTTTAAAATCTATTCCCCTCTCACTAGAAGCGTCTGCAATCTCTCTTTCTTGGGCTTTCATGATCATATTCAGAGATAATTGTTACACATTGTGTTTTGCCTGGAATTATGAAGATTGAAATGCAGAAAACAAACTCCTCACAGCACAGAAACCCTCATCTATTCAGATTTCAGATGCA